GTTCAGGGTTCTCGGGTTTAGGGGTTTAGGGTTTTCGGGTTTAGGGCTCTCAGGTTTAGGGTTTTCGGGTTTAGGGTTTAGAGTTTTCGGGTTTAGAGTTTTGGCCTTCGGGTTTGAGTTCGGAGTTTGTAAGTCAGTGTAGGTTGTGGATTTTTACCAAAAAATTTCGGGTTTAGCGCGAGTCTTCTGGGCTTCGAGACTTCCAATACTCGGGTGTGAGGGTTTTAATTTTCAGAGCTGACCTTAAGATTAGCATTCGAACGCCCGAAGCTCACCGAGTTGGACCAAAAGCAAAATTAGCCAAGCACCAAACCCAGCTGTAAATACAAGAAAATATCAAGTCACATACATCCCATTGCCACGAAGTTCACACCCAAACTCTTGCAGAAAGCTTGCTGCCCTGGCAGTCCCAGTATCCAATAATCGTACCACGCCGCAAGTACATTCCCTTGAACCCAAATGCCTAATTTTTAGTCTTCTGGACCCTCAGAGCTACAAACACCCGAGGCAAACCTGCAATGGATCCCTATAACTTCAGATATCTTCCTTATTGACCCAAGGACCCCATGAAACCTCGCTAAAATCCTGTAAAGCGCCTCTAAACCCTAGACCTAGACCCTAAACCCCTAAACCCCCAAACCCTAAACCTTAAACGGGTTTTGACGTCTCTGGGGCACCTTGGGGGTTCCCCACCCCATTGGGCGGTGCTCCTGTGCATGCAGGGCCGCTGCACCTGGAGATTACTGTTAGGGTTTGGGGTGTAGGGTTCAGGGTGGGGGCTTACGCGCGGTGTGGAGTTTATGAAGGTTTCTTAGGGCTTTGTTAGGATGTTAACTCTGAAGTTCTGCTGAACTCAGCTCTGATGGCTTTGGGTTTTGGGTTTGGGCCTGCATCATGTCATAATTCTGCCCTAAACCCTAAACGCTGCAACGCCGGGTACATGTAGGATTTTTGGGCTTTTGGGAGTTGAGGGCAAGGCCCGGGGTGGTCTAGATAGTACCTACGGAGGATCCCAAAAGCTAACCCAAAAAAGGGTTAAGGGTTTATAGGATTATAGGGCATATGTGGATCCTGAGAGGCAACCCAGAAAAGCGACTACAATGGAGACTATGGAGAAAGGGACTTGGGTCCTAAAGCTTTTAGGATTTCGGGGGCTTTTGGGCCTGGGCTTTCGATAGCGGCTCTGTTTGGGGGGAGGCTTCCTCTGGTTTGGGGTCAGGGTTTAGGGTGTGGCATAAAGAGATGTGGAGCTTGTAGGGTCTAGGTCCTGGTTTCCCGAGGATTGGCCTTAAGAGCTGTTACGGTTTTGATGGAGGTACACCTATATAGTCACTATAGTCTGTCATTGTGGTCCTTTTATTGGGCTTAGCTTATAAGATCCTGAACATCAGACTGGTAAAATGGAGGCCATAGGTAATGCCCGCGTATTTTATAACTCAGCGAGGTTGCAAGCGACACAGATGCTGAGCGCAGGACGTGCTGTGAAGGGTCGCCCTGAACCCCTTGCTAATTAACCCCAAAGCCTAAACCCCAAACTCGAGGCTCTATATACCCTGAAACCTAAGCCCTTGCTAATTTCCTTTCAGCGACTTGTACTCTGTACACATTTAAGGGGCGGTTTACCCTAACCCCAGAAAATTGTAGCCAGCCCAGACAGGGGTCGTCTTGGAAAGGAGGGGCTGGGGCTGGAAGGCAATTGAAAGCGCAAGGGCTAAGCACCTCCACGCCCTGAGCCCCAACCCCCCAACCCTACACCCTACAAACCTCAACTTTCTAAACCTCAAAACCCAGAACTTGAACTCCGAAACCCACTAAAACCCTAAACCCCAAAGATCCCTCATTTCCTAAGAGGTCGACCTTTCCGTAGGTGGGACACATTGGGGCATGTTTGGCATTCAGGGCTTTGGCTTTGAGACTGCCTGGCTTATTAGAGCGAAAATGAGGAGGGACAGGCATTCAGAAGTAGTAGCAATTATAGGTGAAGTTATACCAGCGTACACTATCTTAGCAGCACAGTCAACCTGCTTGTGACCTTTATGACGACTTGCGACCCAGGAACCCGGCGCATCCTGCACAAGGTGCGCAGCCACAGCCGCATGCTCCTGGGGCACCTGGACAGCCTCCACAAGGACCGGCCCCAGAGCCGCCGCATGCAGTGGAGCTACCGCAGCTGCCGGGGGCGCCATATACACCGCTACCACAACCTGCACATCCACATCCACAACAGCCGCAACCACCACAGCCACCGCAGCCGCCACAGCCGCCACAGCTACCACAGCCGCCACAGCCACCACAGCTACCACAGCCGCCGCAACCTCCACAGCAACAACCACAACCGCAGCCACCACAACCACCACCACAACCACAGCCACCGCAGCCGCCACCACAACCGCAGCCACCACAGCCTCCGCAGCCACCACAGCCACCGCAACCACTGCAGCCGCAGCCACAGCAACCACAGCCACCAGGACCACAAGCAGCATTGGCGCCGCAGGACCCGCAGCTACCACATCCACTGCAGCTTCCACAAGCACCACAACCGCCGAATCCACATCCCCCGCAGCCTCCGCAGCCAGTGCTGTCCCCAAAGCAACCCCCATAGGCATTGTGGCAAGCGCTGCCACAGGAAGGGGCACTGCCTCCACCACCGCAGTCCATTGAGCCACCGTAGCTGCCGGGGCAGCCGGCGATGCCTGGCAGAAATGCGTCAAGCGTTCGGGGAGATTACAAGAAGCAGGTTATAGTAATATTAGTTTACGGTAGGCCCTATACAACCTGGCAAGTTCGGAAGTTTGCCTGACAGGCGCCGACAAGAAGAACCCTTTCACCCCAAACCCGCAAGGCCTTGAACAACAAAGCACTATCAGATAGTCTCCTTCGTGATTCCTTTCGCGATTCAACAAACTAGGTATTCAGGTTTCGTGGTTTAACAATCTAGATATTTAGGATCCTATAAGGTACCCCCCCAAAAGGAATAACAATGGAGACTCTAGGTAAACTGTCAAAACTCTCACTCTAAAAATCCTTACGCGGATGAACCTCTAACTTAAAGGAAACTACAGGTGGGGAGTTTAGGATATATAGGACTTCCATAAGGCTTCTATATATAAAGTATATAGACCTTCTATAAGACTCCTATACCCTAAACCCTAAACCCTAAACCCTAAACCCTATACTGGTAACTACCCACCTGAAAATGTCCTAGACTAAGGGCCGCTGGCACCAACAGAGCCGGCTGCACCTGCTTACATCCCTTCTTTTAAAGGGGGGTTGAGGGTTTAGGGTTTAGGGTTTAGGGTTTAGGGTTTAGGGTTTACATACAATGCACATCGTAGGACCGTGCTGTTCCAAGCATTAAAAGCTCATCAGAAGTCTAGATTCAATTGCTTTTATATCCGTTGTCAACCGGCAACACATTCCTCCGCACGTAGGGGACCACCGGGCTTGGGGTTTTTGTTTTCTATCATGGCTGCAGTTGTGAAATTGCTTTTTCTGGGTCAGAAGTAGCCCACCTTTGAACCAGGCCGTTCTGCAAGCTCAGAAACGTCTGAAATCTACAAAACCCTCAACCCTAAAAACCCAAACCCTGAAACCTCAGCCCTACACCCCGAACCCTTAACCCCAAGCCCTTTGAGATTTGGCCTACCACGGGCTCTATCTGCTGACTGTCCTGTCATTCCTTGCCGACGCGCTGCCAGGATCGCTGGGATCTTCGACTTTGGCGGACATTTTGTCTTCGCCTTGGCCTTGAGCGACCTTTCTTTCTTTCGGCTGCCCAGCTTTTGCAGCTGTGGTTTCGGAATCTGGAGTCGAGGTTGCCGCTGGCCTCTGCAAGCATGTTCAAGAGGCCGGTGAGGGTTCTACCTAGTCTCCATTGTAGTTCCTTTTTTTGGTTTAACCAATTATATATCAAGGATTTTATAAGGTCTCCCCAAAAAGGAACTACAATAGAGACTATGGGTATGGCCCTGCTCGGGAGGAGCCTCCCGGCTCATGACTGGCACTGGCACATGGCCTGCCGGGTCTTTGATCCACGAGGCAGCGAGCGTCTTGAGCCTGATGAATCTTGTCCTGCGGGCGCTCCCTAAACCCTCAACCCTCAACCCCTAGACCCTAAACCCTCAACCCTCAACCCTCAAACCCAAACCCTCAACTCTAAACCCTCAACCCTGAACCCCAAACTCTAAACACTCAACTCTAAACTCCAAACCCTTTACCCTCAACCCCAAACTCTAAACCCTGACGTCTGGCTTGGGCCATGAAAGACTGAGGTGACCAACGAGTCGAAGAGCTTAGACTCAGCTTTCAGGCTAAAGGGCGGTTTAAGGTTGCGGGTTTAGGCTTTAGGGATTCATGTAGAAGCCTAAACAAGTACCCATATTATTTTGGGGGTTCCTTATTATAAGTATAGTATCATATACCCTACAACTCGATCGTAATTATTAAGGCCCCTACACTAGGGTTTGAGGTCGAAGTGATTTCGCCTGTTTGGGTTTACGGTATGGCGAGGCCTGCAACAAGAACTCTGGTTCGCCTGCAAAACTGAACATTTAATTGAGCCAGTTTGCTCTGGACAACTCTAGAGTTTACTGGTCTGCCCTTGCATGTACTGCCCCACCACCCATCGAAAAACAAATCAAGCTTGACATGTCAGTCGAATTGATTGTACACATGCATGCAAAAGCACTTGCACCTACCTGCCTGCCTGTCGGCCTGCCTGCCGACCTGCCTGCCTGCCTGCCTGCCTACCGCAGAAAGGTGACTGGCTATTTACTTACTCAGCTGCTAGCCTACAGGATGTTCCTATGAACCCCGATGTTACCATAAGGGCCCTGACGGGGAGTAGGGAGGAGCGAGTCGGGGGCCTTCATACCCCAAATAAGGATCTGATAGGGATCTAGCAGTTGCTGTTTAAGGAAGCATAGTCCCTACCCCCCCCCTACCCTAAACCCGAAACCCGAATTCCTAAAACCCTAACACCGAAACCCTAAGCCCAATAAGCCCCCCTGAAGCCCTAAAGCTCTGCATCTGAAATCCGACAGCCTGTGCCCTAAATCCGAAACCCCAAGCCCTATAAGCCCCAGTATCCCTCAAAGGCCCTCAACCCTAACCCCTAAACCCTAAGAAACCCGAAGCCCTAAGCCCTATCAGCCCTACCATTACCCCTCAAAGCCCTAAACCCTAATCCATACCTGTAGACCAAAAGAGCCACTTTTTAAGGAACTACACATAGAAACCACAATAAGGAACCCTAAAAAGGTAGGTCTTTTCGGCTACAGGTAAACTCTAAACACATAAACCCAAAGCCCTAAAGACCTAAATCCTAAAGCCTAATAACCCCTAAAGTCCTACGCCCGAGTCCCCAAACCCCTACATAAGCCCTATCCCAAAAGTGCTTCTATACACCCTACATCACCCCTCAAGCCCTAAACCTTACTCACATTAATGAACCCCAAGCCCTAAACCCTAATCACATAAACCCTAAACCCTAAACCCTCAGCACATAAACCCTACTCACATAAACCCTGAGCCCTAAACCCTACTCACATCATCCCTAACGACATACCTATAGTCTCCATTGTAGTTCCTTTTTTGGGGGATGCCTTATAAAATCCTTAATATGCAATTAACCAAAAAAGGAACTACAATGGAGACTACATGCAAGCCCTAAGCCCTGATCCTCGCAAGCCTCCAGGCCCTGTCGCTGGCACAGGAGCTTGGAGCCTGAGCTCAGAAGGGCAAACAAAGCTTACCCGCCGCAGAGGGTTTAGGGTTTAGGGTTGTTAGGGCTTAGGGCTTGAAGTTTAAAGCCTTAGATGTCGGGTGTAAGGTTTAGGCTTTAGGGTGTAGGGTCCCCCACGAAAAGTGAGCAAAATAATGGTTCAACACCTATACAAAGGCCATGCTTATCTATACTTTTGGGGTCCAGGTCATGGGTTGAGTGAGGGGTTAGGAGTCTAAGGGTTAAGGTTTGTAACGGTGAGGACTTTAATGGTGTAGTGTTTAGGACTTCAATGACTTCAAGGATTTATAGGGCTTCGGAGATTAAGGGTTTAGGACGTTAATGGTGTAGCGATTTACAGTTGGAGGTTTAGGTTCAAGGTTTAAGGGTTAGGACAGTTGAGGGTGTAGTAGGCGTTTACAGATGTTTTTGGAGTGCAATAGCACTTTTTCACTCCGCCACCTGAGACTCGCTCTTTGACGAACGTGCGCTCTGGGACGCATTAAAGGTCTAGGGTTTAGGATTTCGAGGGGCTCATGGTTCAGGAGTTCAGGAGTTAGGGCTTGGGGTTAAGGATTGTAAGGGTTTAGGAGTGAGGGTTTGCGGTTCAGAGCTTGAAAGGTTTAGCAGACTTCTAATTGTTCACGACTTTAGGGGTTTAGGGTATTTTGTTAGGTTCTCGTAATGTCAAAACACCCACCTACACTCTGCACTTGGTAGGGCCCTGTTAAGAGCAGCCGAATTCGACGGCCACTTGGGATGCCACCTGAGATGCCAGGTTGGTCAAAGCAGGGTAATCTCTTGCAGCTGCACCTAAACCCTAAAACCCTAAAACCCTAAAGACCCTAAACCCCAAAGAGAGCTGCATCCAGACACTTCTCCGTATTCCCACACCCAATGGCTCCAAAGCTCGGGTCTTGCTGGGCTTTTGCTTTCATCCGAGCCTGATACACATGAAGAGTCATGGCTGAAAGGAGAAACCTGGATCGTCTACCCTCCAGGGTCTGAAACAGCTCGGCCACCGGGATAAGCACTGCATGTTCCATTCGCCTTCACACGCTCCTCGAGCTTGCGCCCGAGATTCTTTATGCGCTCTTCCGGTGCGCTGAACTCGTCATCACCTGCCGCTACCGCTCCTTGACTTTTGGCCGCGCAAAGGGTCTAGGGTTTAGGAGTGAGGGTTTAGGGATTGGTTTGCGGGCTTAGAAGCTTGCAGGTTCAGGGTGTAGGAACGATGTTGGGCTGGCTTTGGGTTGAGAAGTTAGGAATTAGGGTTTACCGCTCGGGTTTGTCGCGTAAAGTCGTAAAGTTAGGCAAAAGAAAATAAGAACTCATTGGTTATAATTAGGCTCGTCCGCACACTCAACCGCCAAAGTTGCCGGAGTTTAAACCCCCCACACCAACCCTCCTACGCTGTCGCGAATATTGAATATACTAGTATATATTCATTAGTATCACAAACATTTCTAGCTCGAACTACGTAAGTGAAGCCTGTCATTTTGACCGCAAAATCACAGGAAATGGTCCTGACTAAAACACTTGCTGAGTTGGCATCCCAGCCCAAAAAGCCAACTGCAAAACTGCAAATCCGAACCTGAACAGATTGCCTGGATAGTGATCGATGCAAGAGTCGAGGTCCGAATTACCAGAGAGCGGTTTAGGGTTTAGGGTTTAGGGTTTAGGGTCCCTAAACCCTAAACCCTAAACCCTAAACCCTAAACCCTAAACCTCTACCCCACAAAGCCCCCACCAAGCGCCACC